CTGAATTAAGTTTTCCGTAAAAGTGTAAAACGAATAAGTTGTCAGGTCTTAATAATATTATTTTTATTATTATTTTCTCTCTTGACCCTTTGATTTCTAGTCCAATCGTGGGTTCAATAAATCCAGCTGACACTACTGCAATATTCACTATGGGCTATAATTTAATATTACATTTTATACCTTTGTCAGATTAATCGCGCACGTATATGTACATATGGGTACTGCAGGTGGTGCACATACGATTATTGTACCCCCCCTCCCAAAACGAATTTCATCCCTTCTCGAATACAGCCTCAGTTGCCTTTGTTTTCTATTTTAATCAGTGCAAAACATAACATTATAGTATATTGTATATACCATCCCGTATACAAATCGTTGGAAATGAAGAAGATGGCTTTATAGGGTGCCTACTGCCTATACATAGGTGGTATATTATGATGTCACTAAATTGTATTTATTTCATATTACTGTTTAGGTTTTGCCCAGTTGCTTACTGAAAATATTTAGGTACATACCTACACTACCTATTTGTGACCATTAGAATTTTACGTGAGGATAGTATTTTTTATTTATTATTTATTTACCCAGTTTCTTCTATTTAATTTCGGACTCTACTAGACGTTTTTTTTAAATGAAAATTTTTTATTGTGTCACCGAGTTAGAGATATACTTAGGTATAACTTCTAAGAATATTTTATGCTAATGTTCTAAATATAATGAATCATACACCATACACGATATTTTCGAACACGAGAAATTTAAACTATTATATTAATTTCGGTATACTATATTATGTATTTGAATCTAACGTTTAATAGAAAAAAAAATAATGTGGGTTTTTGCCATCTGTATATATTATTACAATACGCACGCTGCGTTTACCAAATGAACAGATTGCGTTTGAAACTCGCGTATGGCTTGTTGAATTTTTTTACCGCCTATTCATGCGTATAAGGCATTCAATTATTAAAATTACACTGAAAGTTTTGAGGATATTAATTTCGAGATTGGTTAGAGCCGGTCATTAAAGGCGAACAATTTTGGCACTACGGCCGCCGCTCTGCCGTTATACGGGAAACCCGAGGCTAAAGGGTCCCGGGTTGGCGTCGGTGGCGGTAGTGGCGGCGGAGGCGGCCAACTTCCGTAAAGCCGATAACCTAATAAGCAGCTTTTAAGTTTTACGCAGCAAAATGGCGTGTGTTTATTCTCCGGGAACGAGAGGCGGCATCGCGGGTTATGACGGGACGGGGTGGTGGGGGTGGGGGTCGGGGGTGGATAGCGCGAGATCGTTTGCAACAAGAAACTAATTTCGCTAATGGAGCACCTCGCCGTTTGGCTCCTCTTGATTACATTATTTGTGGCATCTGACCTACAGGCTAACATAACTCAGCGGGCCACCCGGTCAAAAGTCGCCGTCGTACATATTATAACGCACGTACTACGTCATATTAATTATACTAATAATATTGTTTCTCCATACGCATTATAATCAGCCGACAGAACCGTATCATTGCGTCTTTTGTAGCTGTATATACCTACATTAGGATATAGATATATTTTGTCTATTCGCTGGTAATTGTATTTTTTTTTGTTTTTTGCCATGTACAGGACCGCGTTCTGTTCAAAACGATCTATAGATAATATAATATATTATTATATACTACGGGGTTTTATTTTTTTATCATTGGGTCGCATTCGTCCTGCCGCGATCGGTCGACCAGCACTCAGGAAATTGGCTGCGTCCGAGGGGCGAATTCCGGCGTACCGTATATTATATACACGCAGTTCGATTGGACCAAGACAAAGTGTCCGGGGTAGTCGTCTCGGGCGGTGAGTTATTGGAGTCCATTACGCCAACAGACCACTTGATCTAATCTATTTTCCACGGCCACCGTGCCGGAACGCCGGGCGCAGCTTCGGCATAGTAGTATATAGTATAGTAGAAGTGGTGGTGGTAGTGATGGTAGTAGCGTGGTAGTGGTAGTGGCGGTGGTGGTGGTAGTAGTAGTAACAAAACAAACGATCTCCGGCCTAGTTTAATATCCCCAAAGACAAACTGTTTTACTACCACCCCTCCTCTCTCGCAAGCACCGTGCACCGTCTCTCACACCGAACCATTTTTTTTTTTTTTATGTCCGACGACGCTTTACCAATTGGTTTCCCCTTTGATTCTCATCACCATTCGGCAGTATAGTTGATATCAGGTGTTTTTTCTCATTTTTTACGAGGGTCGACTACTTTATGTGAATCGCCAATCGTTACTATTTCCGTACGTATGATACCCCTCACTTCCACCCTCACAAGTGGTAGTGCAGTAGTAATATATATAGTTCAATTTCCGTCTTTATTGTTGTGATGTTATTGTTGTAATAATAACGAGGCCGACGTGTTGCCCAAAGTAATTTGAATGTAACGTGTTTGATATCGTCATAAATTATAAATTTCTCACTACTTCAGCATATTCTCTTCATTAATCCGAGTCAAATGCAATTAACAACACACATACATGCGAATTATTTTATTAATAATATTTAACAGAACGGTAATACGATTTAAAGACGCCCGTCCACAATGCTGGTAAGGGGTTTTATTATTACAGACAAGTAACATTCAATCAACGTTCCGGGTGAACGTAATTTCGAATAATATTAACGAAAAGCAGAAATTAATCACTGAAACGATATGTGACTACGGCGGCTCTAACAATTTGAACTGGCGTTCACGTCATATTAATTGTATTATAATATACACTATACAGTATACACTACCAAAACTATTTGTTGTTTTCATCGAAAACGATTTTAAATACGACTAATATAAAATGAAATATTATGTTCGCGACTATAACATGAAATAGTATAATAAGTGACAGATGAAGTGTAAAATATGAATAACTCGCGCGGTGATAAATATTTTATCCGGTTAAAATCACGAATAATTACGATATTATTGTAGATGCACGAGATATAGTATTCAATTGATATAATTAATAAGTGAGAATAAAAAAACAAACTTTAACGTTTTAAAGTCAATTGATTCAAAAACACTTGTCAATTAGTATAATATACTTCATAATTATTATGTTACCCCTCTGATGTTACAACAGTAGGTATCGAGTGTAGATCATCATTGAGTAGGTCACTGTAATGGATATTGTGTTAAATTTTAATTCATTGAATTGAAACCATTGTATAGATTGATTAAATACGATTCTTAGCGAAAGCACTCTAACATTTTATTAACCACGGTTACAATTATTAGTCATTATTTGATTACAATTTTAACGAATGTTCGATTTTATATGAATAAATATTATATAAATTAATAATAATTTATTAATAAATACATTTTATTTTAAAAATGACTGAGATATTTTCCCTTTTGAACCACCAAAGTACAAACTATATTACTTTTTGTAACAGAAAAGTTTAAGTTGATGATTGGAACATTTTTTTTTTCTACAAAAAGTGTCTTCAGACACGAACAAAAAAACTGTATAATAAATTTAAAAAAACACACACACATCATCATTGTAAAATCAATATACCATTTATCGCTCTGCCAGAATCTAAAACATTCAACAATTAATTTTAACATTATAGGAGTGCAAAAAATAACATTGTTGAATAAAATAAAATTTGTTTTGTTTTGTTCTATAAAATAAAACACAATGATTTTGGCGGGCAACCTCACCGTGCAGGAAACGAAGGCAATTACAAGTCATGCTGTAGGTAGAGGATAAAAACTACATCTTCTTATATTAATATTTGAATATACAGTGATGTATTTTTTTTTTATCTGTATTTCGATACTAATTGGAATTACGTTCAAATATTTTGGCGGCATTATAGTAATAGGTACAATGTTGACGATGAACAAAAAAAAAAAAAAAAAATGAATATTTCAAGGCTCGTTTGAGTAGGTACAACAATGTGTTATATAATATTATTACGTACAATACGGCCCAGATCAGTATTTTACGGAGATTCAATTGTATATTTTTTTCTTTTCACAACGTGCAATACGTCCCGGGATCGACCGACCGTTATCGAAACGATCGTTTAGGCAACAATAAATACGAATGTAAAGAAAATATCACGAACTCTGAACGAGCGAGAGACAGTCCTTTATTATTATTACACTTTTTTAGTCTTCCAATAAGCAGAAGATATTTTTACCGTCCGAGTGTTGACTACTGCACCGGCTGTACCTATAAGTATTGTGCAGTGGGTCGGCCCAATCGTATTACCTCGGCATTATACTATAATATTATGTTGTAACCGAAACGGACCGCAATCCTCAGCTATACCGGGTTACCATTATATTATTATGTACATTATACGGACAGAGATTCGAACTACAACACAGGTCAACGCCACTTCGGAGGGTCGACTTGCACATCATACACATATTATAATATAGTGTGTATGTGTGTGTGTGTATAATGCACCGTTGGTAATCCCAGTATACACGGTTGCACTCCCTATATATCATCGTACAATATATGCATACAGGGCGTAACAGAAATAGCTTAAAAATAAACGAGCCATGCGTAATAATACTTCTTTTCAGATCAATATTAAAATATTTTTTAAATATATTATATTATATTATAATTTATAATAATTACCTAAGTATAATATAATATCTAAAAAAAAAATTTAATCATAAAAGTATAATAATGTAGGATTGTATATATATATACGCATAATTGTTAATCAGTTGTTTCTGTTACGTCATCCTGTACATCTCCATGACACGCGGTGTGATCCGATTTACCTGGCCGGGTGAATAATCAAATTTCTCGAGTTCTCGGCATATCACTAGTCGCTACCTATATAGGTATACTACATATTATGTACCATATTGTTATACAGAGTGCGAGACTAGCACTTGAATCTACGCCACTGATCGCAGAGCTCAAACACGTGCGAAATCACATATAATATATAAATGTATAATACAGTGTCATGTTCTCGAGAGCTTCCCTTCGGGTAGTTTTAATATAAAAGCATATTATTGTCGCCGTCGCTGCCGCCCTTTGTACCGTCGCGGTAATCAGATAACATTGGTATATACTGCAGCAGCGGTCCGGGGTGGTATCCTGCGAGCTTTAAGCGTTCCCTGTTCACATCACACAAACGACCGGGCGGCACTTTGGAATTCAAATTAGATATAGACGACGCGGTAGCCCGCGGGTCGCAACGATCGCGACGAGCGGTCATGGTGGACGGGGATCGACGGCCGGAAGGGCTTCCGGCGGGGGAGCGGGGTAGTGGCGAGCGGCGACGTGACGGATAGACGGACAGTGGCGGTGGATTTAACGAATTTCCTCTCACCCAGTCATAATATATATAAGCATAGTGGCTGCAGTATGACTATACATATGTATATATATATATACATGTATATTACAGTGGCGGGCGAGCAGGGTTACAAAGTTTTATTCGCAGCTCTTCCGGAAAGCTGGCCAGCGGCCGGACCGTCCCTATATAATTGAGGTTGAAAAGACGTGTAAAGGGACAGGGCGGAGGTGGCGACTGCGGCACGTGAGGAGGCGATCGAGGGCCGAGGCTGTTTTGTATTCCACGTCGTTAACATGCGATTGCGCTACCTTGTCTCCCCGGGGGGTGTGTGTATGTGTGTGCGTGTGCGAGCATGTCCTGTACGGTGTTGGTCTGTGTGGGGAGGGTAAGGGCGAAGGAAACGTGCGAAAGACTCGCGGGATGACCGTTCAGTGGGTGTCAAAAACGCGTCCGGTGCACAATCGATAGCCACGTCGGCCACCGCCGGTTTTGGCCACCACTGTTAACCATCTGCCGCCGTTCCCAGTGCCGCCGCTTCCGCCACCGCCGCCGCCGTCGTCGTCGTCGCAGCTATGCATAGTTGTTATATAGTCCTCCTCCGAAGACTTGGACACGGTCGTCCTCGTGTATATATACGCTCACCACGCCTGCACCGCCACCGTATATAGTCCGGTCGATAACCGTCCAGCTGCGTTATCTTCACACACACACACACACACACACACTGACACACACGAGCTCATTTGAATATTATAATAATATCATATCATACTAACGTCTAATTCACGCGCTGCAGCTTTGCCACATTAATATGTTACAAGTCGTCGGACTTCAATCCGTCCCTCTACAGGTTAGGTGCACAACACGCGAGTGATGCACGTTTATACATTCGGGGTAACGAGCGTTCGGTCGTCGCAAAACGTAATAACGAGAGAGACTGACATGGACCGAACGGCGAACGTCAACAATCCGTGCGACATGTATAATATATTTAACATTTTATATGCTCCGTATACAGCTTGAGTCTTATGTATCGTGTGTGTGTGTGTGTGTGTGTGTGTGTGTATACCTAGTATAAGCCCTCCGCGCGTCTTAATCGGAGAATCGAGTGAGGGACGTTAATTAATAATTATTCCGCTCTCGCGTTTGTGTGCCGGCGCGCGGCGATGGATGGATTATGTTCCCATGGGGAGCCGAACGATGTTTAAGCTGCTCTCCACGCGCTCGCGTGTGTGTATATATAAACTATATATTATATCTATATAAACTCGTGTATACCCTGCGCCGGATGAGGACTATCGGCGAGGATATTTGTTTATTCCTGCTCCTGTGTGCGCACACATATAATCATTATCCTGCCATCCTTCCTGCATTATATAGGTACACGTCACCTTCTCCTCCCCGTCATCCCGCGGTGTACACTCACACTCGTCCTGCTCTTTTGCCCCCCCCCCCGTCCACAACCCATGTCACGGAAAGGTGCCATCGCCGTGATAACGACATTACCGCGGGGCGCCCGCGTATAATCGGCACGTGTGGAATTTCGCGCGAGCTCCCGCATACCTGCCCAGCTCGCCCGCAAGTTAATTAAATTCGCACGGATACGTCAAAATAACAAATCGCGGGCCAACTATACGGGAATTCCGTTAATTGTTATGGAAATATTCCAGACAGCGGCCGATGTCGTGCGAAATTTTTCACATAATTTCTGCGTTACGGATAACCCCGTGTCGACGTCTGCTGTGAATGTTTAAAAAAAAATATACATAAAACATAATTAATATTAAATTGACAGTATATTATATTATATATATAGGTATATAGCTAACCGCAACGATTAAATGTTATACTGAATCAAATGATCCAAATAAGTAGCCGTTGGTAGGGGGGCACGGGGGACCGTCTAATTATTTTTTCTGTATATGAAAAATATATAATCACACTGTTGTTTTCTTCAAGCTAAGCTTTCCTTCTGTTAGCTCTATTGTAGTTTTGTGAGAATATTCTAAGCATAACTGGGTTAAAATGTATCTGCATCTTATAAAGATAAGGAAAATCTAAATATACGTTCTATATTCATGTCATTAGTTTTAATTTAGTAGTTTAGTATCCTCCGTTCAAATTTAAAATTGCATATTAAAACATAAAACCATAATTATTGACATATTTTAATTAAAATAGAATAATAATAGATAATTTTATATTCTGTCATAGGTACTATATTGGATTACGACCCCTTAAAAATAACAGGGCATGCCTGAACTGTCCTCGTCCTAATTTACATCTAAGCAGTTGGATTCTGTAGCCTGCAGTGGATGCTCATAGTCTACATATAAATAACCGAAGTAAAATATGTTTCCTTCGCTCTGCACGTTGGGTCAAAAACTAATTTATAAATTATGGTAAGTTGTGTTTATTTACTGAAATTATATTTGTAAGACTAATTCCTACGCAAATATAGAGTACAAAAATAAATTAAACACATGCACTAGGGGTAATATTATATTTGTTTAATAATGCAAGTATAATATAAGTAGGTGGTACATTTTAGTTTTAATATCTTAAATTTTTAATCCATATTTATGTCGAAGAAATTACATTTTTAAGGGTACCTAGTATTTTCTGTTAATATGATAAAAGATAAAATGCAAATAGAATAACGTCGGTTCTCAGAAATCATAATACTTAAACATTATAAAGTTTATATAATGTACATAATCTCGATTCATTAAAATGAAATAATGTATGATTCTATATCGTACTATAGCAAATAAATTTTCTTTTACTATTGTCCAAAAACGATTATTGAATGTATGTAGTTATTCGGTATTCTTTGATGAAAAATAACTTACTATTTAGGTACAACTAACTGCTGCAGTTAACACTGTAGGTACATACCTAAATATATTATAATAAATAGTTACAAAACAAATTTCGTCCGAAAGTTTCTCCGTCGAGTTCAACAGTGATCTTCACAGTTTATATTCTATTTTATAGCTTAACATTCATTACTTTACATTAACGCCAACAACTTTTAGCGTACACTGGTAAAATACTAAAATGTAATTTTACAAACGATCGAATACCGTTGCTTGTTCAGTGTTTCCATACTTACTTACCGTGCCACACTAACTTAGTTTGACGGATCGCTTAATATAATGAGCGAAATATGCGTGTAAAACGTATCCTACACCGTAAGCGTACCTACACCGTAATAATTAACGCGCACCGTCGTAATTAATTGTTATTGTAATGTGTGACAAGGCATACAATTGTCGGAGTACTGCTCGGAGAACGTCAAAACAGCTGACGATACCTATCGCTTAAAAATTATTATATTGTATTTCATAATATTTTTAGTCAACTTTTTAATAATGATTTGTTCAACACGTGTTTATTGTTATAGCTATAATCTATATAAACGCCGTGAATTTCCATCCGATTTGCAATATTAACATAATATTACACCTATATTATAGCAATGGTATAATGTTTTGAGGATCTCGAATATGCATTTTAACGGGTAAAAGTTAAATATTACGATGTCGATGAATAATTTTTATTCATATTTTTTCTAACGAAAAAAGTCTGACCTTATAATATTAATAAATTGTTTTAAACTGTAATAATATCTGTAGTAATACCTATATTATAATATTATAGTAATAGCCATAACCTCGAAGAGATTACTTATTCGATCCAATCTATAGTGAATACATTTTAATGTTATGCAAAAATCATTTCAGAAACACAAATACTCTGACATTTCTTATACTATAGCGATAATATATTTTAATAGTATGGATTGATTGTAGCAGACGCGTTTCATTTTGGTTAACTGCAGATGCTGATGAAACAATATTAATAATAATAACAATAACAATATACTATGTTTTTATTAAGTTTTACATCATAATATCGATAGCATGAAAATCTAATACACTGCAATGCAATAATATTATTATAGTGGTTTATAAATTATTTTGAAACGAGATAAACGTAAAATTGCTCTCAACGAAATATAAAACATCCGTCACGAAACTTTTACGTTATAATAGATATTATGACATTATAACACTACAATAATAATTCTTAATATATATGTAACGTATTAAAGTAATGACATGTAAATGTTCTACCTTGGGCAGTAAATTATAATTATTTCGAAGCGTATATAATATATTATAAACGCTCGTCGAATAGTGATTAAAACCGCAAACAGTGTAGCTTATTATAAACATAATATTATAATGATGGTCGCAGTGATACCATCGTTACTAACCTAAATCAAAATTTATCATTTCAGAATACGAAATAAACGTCATATTGTCCGGACATAAAGATAGAGAGAGAGAGGAGTGAGAGAGAAAGAGTGGGTGAGAGGTCATAACGAAACGGTGGTTGCGGGGTGTGCAGTTCGAGACGGAGATATCACGCGTAAGCTTAATATTATATAATATATTATAGTGTATATAAATTATGATATTATTATGATGTGTGTCAATGATTTTCAGGCTGAACTTAAATTTTAAGTTTAATTCAATAGTTCTAAAAAAAATGTATAATTATGCGATGATGATTAATGCATTTAAATTGTTCACAACGATCTTCTGTTACGCGTATACTATAAGGACATCCTACTACGAAAATGTGTGTCCAACATTATATAAGTAGGTAATTACTGTGATTTGACTGTAATAATGAAGAATACAAAAATAACTATTATATATAAAGTACTATATTTAATTTTGAAATATATTATTATTGGCACAAAACACATTTCTAGAGGAATTACATTATTTTGGTTTCATAAAATTGGTATTAATGCCAAAATGCATATACTGCTATGGCGACAGAGAGTCCACTTTGGAATTTTAAAAACTCTTCGTCTAATTTGAATTTGAAGTTTATAATAAGCCTATATTATTTCGACGATTTCGTCCCGAAAACTCAACTTTTATTATAATATATAGTCTCGGCGGTAATGGTATCGTCGTATTCGACGTCCGTCTAGATTTTCCAGGTCTGCGGACAGAGGGAACACACACACACACACACACACACACACACGCGTACATAATATAGATATATAAAACGGTGAATAAATTAGCTCGAACGCTGTCCGAAGAAACATATTACGCAAAGTTTTCAGCCCCTGCACCTCCACCTGCCCCCCTCCCCAAAACCACCCACTCTCAGGGCTCGACCCCGCAAAGAGTCGGCGGCGTTGGCGTTGTCGGTGGCTGTGGCGGCGGGGGCCGTTTATTGATTTCGGGACTTGGCGTCGTGTGTACCACGTACGCGTGTTGTAGGACCGCTGTAGTCCAAAGTACCGATGCGAGAACGACGACGTAACCCTTTTTCTGCAGTCTGGAGTTGGCCAGCTATCCGTTTCCCCCACCCCCTATACATGCACAGGCGGTCTAACCTTTTCCGCAACCCTTGCGGCCGCCGGGCAGCAGCAGCTGATCCGCCTTTGTTCGGTCGACCGTGTGTATACGCAAGCACCCGAAATACCGGCCAAAGCGACGTTATACCGGACGAAACACATCGCCGTGCTGCTGCGGCGTACATATTATTATTATTATTACTATCATCATCGTCATCATCATCCATTACTATTGTACTATTCGAGTCGGTAAAAGTTTATGTTTTTAATTTATTTACTTCTCCGAGACTAGAGAACGGCTTTCGAATGTTTTTTTCGTTTTCTTTTTTTTTATTATTATTATTATTATTCTGTACGTATTATACATAAAAGGCCCGCCGACTAACAATGTCGAACCGAATTCTTCGGGCACTGATTAATTCCAAATCCACCCTCCGCCGGCCACGCGACCACCCTCCGCCTCCATACAGCCGCCACTGCTGTCGTCGTCGTCGTCATCCAGCGGGGTCGTCCGCGGCGGGGGCGATATTATTGAATTTTTCATTAAGCGCCCTCATCAGGGCTGTGTTATTGTGACCGAAGATAATCAAGGCATGTAGTTTTTTTTTCTTTATTATTATTATTTTTTTTTTTGTTATCGTCCCGGCCCAGAATAATTCCATACACAATTAAACGGAGTTCTTTCGGCCGGAGGGGTTCCGGAGCGGAAAATCGATGTGCCTCGATCGGGCGGTTATGGTGTGGGGTGAGTAGTGGCGGGTGAAAGAGATCGCCGCCGCCGCCGCCGTATGCTCTCGTCGGTATATTATAGCAGCGTGTACAGAGTTGTGTATTATATATAATATCATAATATATAGTGTAGCGTATAGTCATCGCAATAGCTGTATATATATATAGCTCTGTTCGGCGCTCGCGTAGGGAAATATTCCGAACTTGTTGCCAACAGCTGCCACGACTGTCGTCGAGCACAGAAGGGATAATATAATATAATAACGCGCGCGACCGTGCGGACGGAAACGCATTCGGGCGAAGGCGGAATATCCATAAATTCGCCGAGCGAAAACAAAAACGCACGACGTTTTGTCGTCGTCGTAGTCGTCTCGTGGACACCGCGAACTTATCTAAAGCACGTGATACGTACATATAAATATACCAACAATATATGACCGAGTGGTTCCGACGGACGCGCGGGCGAAGAAATTCTAAGATTTTATATTCATATATATTGCGAAACTTTTTCTGAAATGTTATCGTAAGTCTGCTCCGTCACGACTCCCTTGTCATTTCGTAACTATTGTGATGGTTGTCGTCGTACCTTTTCAGGCCGATCACGAGCGTATAATATGCATCACCCAATCATAATCGTCGTCGTAGTCGGTGATGCAGGAACAACTTTTCTCATGGCTGGGGGAGGGCAAAAAATATTATAGAGATCCTCGATTATGATACTTCTTCTTATTTTCCTTAAGTCACTGGTCGTTGTCTCCAGTATTGTTGATTGACAAAATCGAATTGTCTCGGGCCTATATAAAGTAATTAGTAATTATTACTATCGATAGGTCGGGTATAAACTATAAATGCATTTAATATAATATATCTTACAAGCGTACAATAAACTAAAACCGCCACGGTAATAATATCGTTTGCTGCACATCACATTCCAGTAGTAGGTACCTGCGTATACTACCGGCAGATTTTAAGTTGTGAAAGATTGAATTTTATTGAAGAGTTGAGGGTGGATGGGGGTGTAAATATTATACGTCTGCCCTCTCCAGGGTAATTTCCGAACGGTCAAGTGTCCCACATGAACCCTATTTGACCACTTCTCCACTTTCTAGCGGCACTGGTCGTCTCGATACTATTTTGTTTAAATCGTTTTGTCTCGCACAAATGATAATAGCAATAATAATAATTAACTATTATACCGTCGTCGGTAGGCCGCGTATAATAATATATTATTATTATTCAACACTAGCGAACAACGAACTTTGATACGGCATCACACGACATCTGACATTTCCGCGTATGTGTTCGCAACAAACCTTTGTACGCGTAATTGCAGAGTGTTTACTGACCGAATAAATACACTGCGCTCAGCACACGCACACGGGGCGACGGCATTAACTACGAACACAAACGATACGCCTATACAACATGTTATATACACTCTGGTTCACACGCGATCGCTAATAATATATTATATTATTATTAAAATGCACACCGGCCGTTTAGGTGCACACACTCGATGATATTATTATTGTATGATATAATATATTCGACTTGCTCCTCGAGATGCACAAACGGTTGGTGCAATTAGAATTTGAAAATTCCAAATCGGGGGGGCCGCAGAAATGGACCCCGGTTATTCGGTCTGCGCGCAGTTCTATATTGTATGTAGGAACGCGACACAATATATTAAAATAATTGTTGCAGAGGACTATATTCTATAATAGCGTTTGCATATAAATATAATATAACACACTATTGTTGTTGTGGTTGTTTTTTTTTTAAATATTTGTTTACACATTTTCTTTAAAATAACGTTTATTGATACAACAAAATTATAATGTAAGTTCTTATACAATTTGGTTACATTTTGAGAGCCTCCACAGCAACAGGGTACTTCTGAGTCATGACGTATTTTCTGTGTCTCATTTGATTATTTTAATTTCATTCAAATATCAGATGGTATTTGTTTTATTTATTTTTTTAATTATTTCTTGATTAAACAACCGGGAAAAAATTATTGAGTGATTATTTTTTTAGCATATTATTTCAGTGTATGTGAGTGCATAAGTGCTCTAACATTTTGTGATTTTTTAGAGGTATAATATTTTTATATTATATTATCAGCCCTAATAATACAATTTTACACACACTCACAATAATCAAAATTCGTTACGACTGCTGTTGAGTATTAATTAAAAATGTTGCAGTACCTAAATAAGCGCTTTTCGATATCAATCAGGTTTGTAATAGACTACAAAAAAACTGCAGACATCAGATTCATTATTTTCCTACCCAATTTCGGTTTAAATAATGTTTTATTCCACCCAAGTTAAATAACGATTAGGTACAATATAATATAAAACTAAGTTATTTTCTTTTTATTAAAAACTAAACCAGTTTTATTCAGTGGAAACGTTATGGTTTACAAACTTTTAAAATGATTTCATAATAGGTTTAAGTATAAACGGTATTCGTCGTCTTATAGTATTGTATGGTCCTTAAATCTGTTGTGTTATTTTTCTATAATTAGACGCAGAGGGAATTATTTTGAGAACATACTTTTTTAGTAGCAAGTTATTTATTGAACATGAAAAAACGTATATAGAACTCGAAGAAGTCTTATATAAATTAATATTTTAGATTCTGAGTGGAGTGAGGAAGGTATATGTTTTACAATGGTGTTTATTTTTATTTTTTTGGAATATCCTGTATACCAACATTTCTACCAGAAGGAGTGCTTCGATTTCATAATATAGTACCTTATCTTTTAGCAAATTGGATCAAGATGGTACTCTAGACAGGTCATTTTTCGACTTTCTCAATATTTATTTAATTGCACAGGAAAAACCACCGACAAATTACGAAAAACCCCTAAAAATAGGATTTTAATTTCTAATGCTTTGTTTATCACAGAAGAAATGAATAAAAAAAAAAATAATACCTATTATAATATAAATTCAACTTACAGGATATAATAAATAATGACAATATCCAGACTGACAAACCGTCTCCGCTCGGTTTTTTTTATACAATGATATCATATCATTGAATTTAAGTTTAATACAATCCTTTATACATTGACCCAATTGTAACCTACTGTACAGCAGAGCGACATCCACTTACCCACTTTTGTTTTTTATTTTGTTTTAATTAAAATTATTTTACAAGAAAAATAACGGAATATTTCAAATTTTAGATTGCGAATACGAAGAGCGGCGCAGTATTACAAATTATAATGATGTGTGTTTTTATATTTTTTATATTGTTTTTCGGTCAAACTTTTGGGGTAGTGAAAAAATCAAAAAGTTTCATGCCGTACCTTTGTAAATTGAAAATTTAACGCTTCATATTGAACTTCAAACTTTAAAAAGGTCATTTTCCAATTTCTCAATAGTTGTCGAGAAAATCGTGACAACAGCAAAAGAGAAAAAAAACTGTAAATAAACGTAAGCAAGCGCCTGTTTTTCAACAACGACTTGGGTAAACACAACTTCACTCAGAATCGTTTTTAGAATACAATGATTTACATTTAGCCTGGGGGACCGAACATCTATTTTATCTCACCGCTTTAAGTCTAAAATCATGTATTCCCGTTTGACGATTCACTGAGTATAATATGCGAGTTTATTCGAAACAAATATATTAATTCACTTTCACACAATATCATAGAAAACATGTAAATACGGTTTGTTCGGTCACTATTCAAAATTCTATGTACTATTAAAAAGTAGGTTTTTAACCTATAGGTATTATTTAGTAAAATTGTTAAAAATTGTTTTTTTTTTTAAATCGTTCCACCTTCAAAGTTGTAGACCTGTATCCATTTACGATTCTTTACACCATAACCATATAATATTATGTCAACACTTTATACCTTTATGAATATCATTGTATTTTATAAATACAATCTATAAAAACCATACATGCTAGTACCTATTTCTTAACTATTTATTAAAAGATATACCTACAAACAAATATTTTAGTCAAAATTCTATGAAAATGTTATTTAAAAATTGAGAATTCAATTTTAATAATATATTGTTCGGTACCAAAATTTGATTTTTAGCTTTTTACAGGCTTGGATACGAAACATTTATCGGAACTTTTAGTTAAAATAAAAAAATAATACAACTATGTATCAACACGAAGACTATTATAAATAAGTACTTTTAGAGTAATAATATTTTGCTCTATTTAAATTAGTTAACTTTTTTTTTTATTTATTTTCAGAATATTACTCATCACCATAGGCGCCAATAGCGTTTGAGATTTCTAAATGCTGAAGCTCTACTATAGTAATATTTAAGAAGCTTAAAAAAATGTAGGAAATGTTTGGAGGGTGTTATTGAAATTTTTTGGGGGTTAGCTCCTAAAGCCTCCCATATTGGCGTCAATGATCATCAGTCATCACTATTAAAAGTTCGAAAATAAATCAGTTCACTAATTGAAAATTAAATAAAAAATAAACTTAGCGCACGTAAAAACAATATTGTATAAC